GTCAAAGTCTTCTTCTTTCTCTCTCTTCTTCGAATGAGAAAACACACAAAAATGACTTCTTTTTTTTCTCTCTTGTGAATTCAAACAAGTACAACGCCTAAATTTAATTTTGTTTCCTGATTTTTTTTTTGCATTTTGAGCTTCGTGTAAGTTTGTTAAATAGTAGTAATGGACAACAAATCCAGAGCTATGTAACACTTCCTGCTCATGAAGGCAAACGATTAAACAAACGTGTATTCCAATTTTCCAAACAAAATAAAAGGAGGGGAAACTGGGGAAAGAATTAAAAAAAAAAAAAAACAAGACCTACTCACTATCTCTGTCTCGTCTCAGAATCTAACACCTAACATTAACTCACTTCTCTCTTTGTACAAATCAGGACTGCAAAAGCACACATATGATATATGAGACTCTAACAAGAACAACTAGCAAAACACAAAAAAAAAACCATGAAGCCAAGAATGATTTGCCGGTTTGTGGCAATGGATATATTAAAGCCAAAGTGTGTCTCTTTTCTCTGTTTTAGAGCTTTGGCTTTTATGACTGTGGAGCACCTGAAGAATTCATGGTCTCATTAGAGTCTGTCTCAACTGGTTCAGAGCCTGATGAGTTGGTTGCTGAACCCCTTTCTCTTTCTCTCCCTGCTCCATCCTCCGCTGCTTCGACCTCACTTTTCTTCGCAAACCGGCCTCCGCTAGCCCTTGCTCTTCTCATCGCATGCTTGTGTCTTGACTCATGAAGATATGGCTGTTGCATTTTAAACAAACAAACAAACACGGGGATATGATCAATAGAAGCCAGGGTTTAGGAATTCTTATTACTCGTTTTCAAGCCTAAAAAATATGTACACCATAACTCGATGATCCCAACTTGTGCTGCCAGAGTTACTATTTGTTCCTTTTATTTTTCAATTTCATAAAGTACAATTTGATAACTAGAACTACCTTTCTGTCCCTGATGACTTTTCTTTCTAGCTCTGCCTTGGCACGTGCTTTTCTTCGCCTTAATATGCCCTCGTACTGTTTCGCATTCACATAAACAGGTTCTTGCGTCATGTCAAGTGGCAACGCTGTTCTTTCACGAGGCATTCCAAGATATGGACGAAAACCCTGCTTAAACCATTGGACAAAACAATGCAACAAAGAGACTTGGATAATCGAAATTAATTAAACTCATGACACCCTAAGAATCCCCGAGATTTGTTTTTAGGTTCTTTTAAGATATAATTTTTAAAACATATCCCTAACTCTAACAAA